GCTACGGGCGGGAGGACGGCGTGCCGCCAGGGCCAAAGTGCCTCCAGCGCGATGCTGGCTGCGCAGAGAGGGGAGACTGAGTTTTTCCTCGCGCGCCCCCTCGTGGTGGGAGGGAAATCTATAGCAAACGTCGCCAGTCCTCGGAAAAGGGAAGGACGGAGTGAAAGAACCCATCCGCTCAGATTCAGAAAGGTGGTTGCCTGCGGGGTGGGGATGGAGGGGGGACGGGGACCCGAGAGCTCATGTACGGGCGGAGAGTATAAGCCAGTGGGCCCCAAGCAAGCCTGCGTAGAGAAGCATCTGGGGAGCTCTTGAAACGAACGAACAAAAAAATCTAGGTCCTGGGACCAACAGGTGGCGGAGTGTTTAAGGCGCTGGACTTCCAGAGGGCTACCCGCAGTTCCCGTTACCTGGCGGCTTGAAAATCACGCGCGGGCGCGCGCATGCCTGTGCTTCTGTGTGTGTGCCCAAAATCCCAGGAGGAGAATGGAGAAGGGATTGCAGTGTGATCGATCCCCCCGAGGGAGGATTTCTCACTGTCTCTTCCAGAGTGCTTGTGTCCTATGACAAAAACCTCATAATAATTATAATAATAATTAAAAGAAAAACAATCAGGGGACTAGCAGATGGTGTCGCAATTATGTTGCTGGGCGCTTTAAGTCCTGGACCCGGTGGCTTAAAACTCACAACGGGTGTATTTGTGCATGCCCAAGATCCAGGAGGAGAATGGAAGAGAGAGGATTGCAGTATGGCTATCCCCCCCTGGGAGGTGATATCTCACTTTCTCTCTCACTGTGTCTCTCTCTCCAGCGAATACATGCACCCTAAGGCAAAAACCTAAAAAAAAAAAAAAAAAAAAGATGACCTCACACAATTCGCATCAGGCTGTCTGAAAGGATCAGTGTATTTCAAAGTTCCCCAGGTACAACCAGCCTGGCACAGGTAGATACAAATTATTAACTTTTAGATTGGTGGTGCATTCTGGGTATTCATTCTATTAGTTGTTTTATAGCTCATGTGTATTACATTACACATATTAGTTCATCTACCAGTGATTCCATTAAAAAGAAAATAAAGAGCGGCCAGCAGGTGGCCTGGTGATTAAGAGCACTGGACTCCCACGTGGCTAACCCCAGTTCAAGTCCCAGACCTGGTAACTTGCTTTCTCACTCTCTCTCGCTCTCTCTCTCTCTCACTCACTCATACTCTGGCCCTCTCTGGTCAAATTAAAATAAATAAATAAGTTTATATAAAATAATTATTAAAAAAATAAATAGAAATATTACATTTTCTTTCATTTTTCCATTCCTTCAGTCGTTTCCTAGGTGCAGTACAGTACCCTGTTGAACATCACGGCCTCTTCAGTCAGAACCTCCCGACCTACACCACGCCAGCTGCAAGGTCTCGGACAAGCCTTTTCATCACCCCGTGCCCCGCTTCCTTGTCCGTGAAATGGGATTGACAACGTTGCTGCACTTTAGGGTTGCCCTGATGAGAGGAAACAGAGGTTTCAGTGGAGCCCAGGGCCTCAGGAGCAGGCGGGCGTGTCTCAGGTGAGCACAAACATGGCTTCCTTTTTAGTCAGCACACATTCCCTAGGGCCTGCTCTGCTGTTCCCAGGGTTGTTCTCTCAGTGGCCTTACCCCCTGCCAAGTTCACGGCCACTTTTCCAGAGGGGAGTCGGCAGCTCAGTGTCATGGCTCCAGCGGGAGCTGCCCACCCATCAAAGGGGCCAGGCCTGCCTGAGTCACAGGAATGACAGAAATATGCCAACTGGGTAGAAGGAGACCTGGCTGCAGGTGCTCACTCTGTGGGCAAAGCCCTCCCACTGTCCGGGCCTGTTTCCTCCTTGGTAAAACCAACTAGAGGACCAAAGAAGCTCCACAAGTGGGACTTACGGGTTGACCGGCCTGCCAGAGAGCAGCAGTTCCCAACTGGTCGCGATTGGAAGCCTGAAGTCCCCATGGTGTCCAGGCCTCTCCTGGTCGACAGGTGCCCGCACTGGCCCCCACAGGTCAACTCTCAACCTCATTATGACATAGCTCGTGGCCCTAGCCCCTCATGCATCTTTACGAGGATCTGTTCCTTGGTTCCTCCCAGGCCTCCTGTGAGATGTTTTATTGTCCCCATTTTAGAGTTGCCTACACTGAGCCTCAGTGGTAGCATCACTTGCCCGAGAGACCATCGCTGAAATGTGGTTGAGGCAGAATTTGAACCCAGCCCTGTCTGATCCCAGGGCCTGGGACCTCTCCCTACACCATGAGAGCAGGGATGAGGAGCGATGATGGAGGAGAAGGGATTATGGTATGGTGTTCCCCCATGGGGTGCTTTCTCTCTCTCCCTCTCTCTCTCTCTCTGTCTTTCTGTCTCTCTCTGGTCAATGTGCATGCCCTCTAGCAAAAACAAAAGTTACTGGAAATAAAATAATGAGTAGGTTCCCAACTTCAAGCCCCTTCATCTTCTACAAAAGAAAAAGGGAACTAAGATGTTCTTATAAGAAAATAGACAAGAGGGGCCAGCAGGTGGCATGGTGGTGAAGGCAGCTAGACTCCGGCATGGCTGACCGTGGTTCGAGTACCGGACCTGGCAGCTTTCTCACTTTTCTGCTCTCGCTCTCTGGTCAACTTAAAAAAAAAAAAAAAAGACAATGAATAAAATTAAATAAAATAATTCTCTTTAAAAAAAAAAGAAGAAGAAAAGAAAAGAAAGCAGACAAGGGGAACCAGCAGATGGCATAATGACTACTTTGCTGGACTCCCGTGTAGTTGACTGTGGTGCGAGTCTGGGACCTGGCAGCTTAAAACTCACGCTGGGCACATGTGTGTGCGTGCCCAAGATCCCAAGAGGAGAATGGAGTAGAAGGGATTGCAGTGTAGCCATCTGCCCTGGGAGGTGATTTCTCGCCTTTCTCTCTGTCTCTCTGGCAAGCATACACACCCTATGGCAAAAATCTCTCTGAAAAAAGAAGGAAGGAAGGAAGGAAGGAAGGAGGGAAGGAAGGAAGGAAGGAAGGAAGGAAGGAAGGAAGGAAGGAAGGAAGGAAGGA